CTGCGGTTACCTGCTGGGGTTTGGTATTGAACCCAAAATGGTGGGAGGAGGTGGGTGTGATTTGGGTGGGTTTGGACCTCCCTGTCATGCCCCTCTCCTCCTCCTCTCCCCTTTCCCCTGCCTGTGCCTGAGCTGGGACGTCTATTCCCTAGCTCCCAGCTGAGCGTCCCAGAGGATTGGAGCTTAGGCGGGGAGGCGAGCTCTCGCCTGCCGGTGGGCGGCTGGAGATTGACGCTGCTTGTTGTGTTATTTTGCAGGTAAAGATGAGCCCAGCAGCTACACGTGTACAACTTGTAAACAGCCTTTCAACAGCGCCTGGTTCCTCTTGCAGCATGCACAGAACACACACGGCTTACGGATCTACCTAGAAAGCGAGCATGGCAGCCCCCTGACGCCACGGGTTGGTATCCCAACAGGACTAGGTGCAGAGTGCCCTTCCCAGCCACCTCTCCACGGGATTCACATTGCAGACAATAACCCTTTTAACCTGCTCAGAATACCCGGCTCTGTCTCGAGGGAGGCATCAGGGCTGGGAGAAGGGCGTTTCCCACCCACGCCGCCCCTCTTTAGCCCTCCCCCGAGGCACCATTTGGATCCGCATCGTATTGAGCGCCTGGGTGCGGAAGAAATGGCTCTGGCCACCCATCACCCTAGTGCCTTTGACAGGGTGCTGCGACTGAACCCCATGGCGATGGAGCCCCCCGCTATGGATTTCTCCCGGAGGCTGCGGGAGCTGGCCGGCAACACTTCCAGCCCACCCTTGTCCCCGAGCCGGCCCAGCCCTATGCAAAGGTTACTGCAGCCCTTCCAGCCCGGCAGCAAGCCCCCATTCCTGGCCACGCCACCCCTTCCTCCTCTGCAGTCCGCTCCTCCTCCCTCACAACCACCCATGAAGTCCAAGTCCTGCGAGTTCTGCGGGAAGACCTTCAAGTTTCAAAGCAACCTGGTGGTCCACCGCCGGAGCCACACTGGGGAGAAGCCCTACAAGTGCAACCTCTGTGACCACGCCTGCACGCAGGCCAGCAAGCTGAAGCGCCACATGAAGACCCACATGCACAAGTCCTCCCCCATGACGGTGAAGTCAGACGATGGGCTCTCAACTGCCAGCTCCCCTGAGCCGGGCACCAGCGACCTAGTGGGTAGTGCCAGCAGTGCCCTCAAGTCCGTGGTGGCCAAGTTCAAGAGCGAGAATGACCCCAACATGATCCCCGAGAATGGGGATGAAGAAGAGGAGGAAGAGGAGGAAGAGGAGGAGGAGGAAGAAGAGGAAGAGGAGGAGGACTTGAATGAGAGCGACAGGCCAGACTATGGCTTCGGGATGAGCCTGGAGGCGGCCCGCCACCACGAGAACAACTCGCGGGCTGGTGAGGAGGGCCGGTCGATGCCGGATGTCATGCAGGGCATGGTCCTGAGCTCCATGCAGCACTTCAGCGAGGCCTTCCACCAGGTCCTGGGGGAGAAACACAAGCGGGGCCACCTCCCCGAGCCCGAGGTGCACAGGGACACTTGCGACGAAGACTCGGTGGCCGGCGAGTCCGACCGCATTGATGAGGGAGCGGTCAACGGCCGGGGCTGCTCCCCAGGGGAGTCCGCCTCGGGAGGCCTGTCCAAAAAGCTGCTGCTGGGTAGCCCCAGCTCCCTGAGCCCCTTCTCCAAACGCATCAAGCTGGAGAAGGAGTTTGACCTACCGGCCGACGCCATGCCCAACACCGAGAACGTTTACTCCCACTGGCTGGCAGGGTTCACCC